TACCCCCAACCGCCCCTTGGAGATGTGGGGGACAGGAAATCTTGAAACGACAACGTTTTCTTTTACTGGTCAAGTGACATGTTGCTTTTATAGTGATTCAACGAAATATTTCGCAATGACGTCCACCGCCGAGTTTCCTATTTCTCTGCAAATGCGAACCACACATGCCTTCCCGAAATTTCTGTGCAATAAATCTTTACGGCCTTATCCTGTTTCATACACTTTTTGTTTTTGCGTTTACGGCATCTTTCTCTCGTGCTTGCACTTTCGCAACGCCCATTTATCGAAGCTAAACAAAAACAGAGAGTGCTTGCACCCCCGTCTGCATCCTGTCTGCACTCATGTCTACATTCTAAAAGCAGCTTTTATAATTATCGTCTGACTGCTACGACTAGGCAATAGATAAACCATTGAGGGCAATCAACATCCCTATAATCGTTATGACTCGAGCCATATACCGGTTTGTATAGATAATTTTGTTTCAAAAAGTAGATGTATGCTTTTTCTATCATTTTGAACGAGACTTGGTATCCAATATAAGTCTACTACTTAATCGGAGGGAATTTTAGAGTGTCACTCTTGCTTTCTGAATGTTACGTCATGTTTAAACCTAGTTGTTGTGAAAGATTGAACTATCGAATGATGATATCCTGACTTACTTCTGATTCCAATCCTTCTCATGCTAAATCCACTTTTTCCATAAACTCCTGATTAAATCTTTGTCTGATCTTGCTTGAGAATGTGCTATTTTTAGGGCCGAAGATATGGTCAGTATATTCGATTTTAATTGTTTACCTATCTGCAAAATATTCACCCGAGTGTTTTTTCCTCTGTCGTGAATGGTGATATCTTGACAGTATTCCCTAGATATTTCATAATTTCCAAGTTATTATAATAGTCCATGGTGTTTATGTAAATTTTGTGCGAATGAGTTTTTGCAGATTAAAGTTAGGGATTGAAACATTCAGGCCAGCCATTCATTCTAATCTTAGCAGAGAAGTCCTTTCAGATTTTATTGAATATGAGTTTGTAGCAGATTTGGAATGGGTGTCACAGACATCGCATCTCTCATTAATTATCCTTGCATTAATCTCAGGCGACGTCTGATATTTTGTAGTGTTTCCGGCATTAGGTATAAGAGCTAACATTCTCCATTGACAGAAGCAAAAGTGCTTCGCATCCAGAATGTAAGAAAATTAGGGATTTGGTTTAATGTACATAGTCGGCGTCAATCTATCATTTGTGGCCGAAAAGCAAGTAAGACTTCGATCACTGCGGAAAAGATGTGTTTTTTTCAAGTATAGTTCTTCATTGTTCTTCACTTAGGTAATTCTGCTTCCGTAGGTAACATACTGCGGTAAAATTTTGATGTTTGTTCTTATAGGCGAATGTAAAGTAGCATTCAAGATGTCTAAGTTCTTTAGCAAAAGCAAAAACCGCTCCAAACAGAAAGAAACTAATACTCACACGACAAAAACAAAGAAAAAGAGAAGGAGAAAAATCACTGAAGTTTTCGCACTCATTTGAAATTAGAAAAAAAAAACTATGTGCGTCAAAAAGTAACTGGAACTGCAGTATATTGTTTCCAAAAGAGGAGACATTTGCTTTTTAAATAAAACAACAGAAACTAGCAAAAACCAGTTTTTTTATGCAAACGAAAGCTCGCGCGTAGTGCGGCCAAATCCAGGCTGTTGCGATTACAGAGGAGAACTTGACGCCAACTATAAAAGTCATCTTGACGTTCACTTCATCAGCGAATATCCCAATACGTGTCCCAGAGTTGTAGATGGGCAGTGGTCATGCTAGATTTTTCAGAACCATTTCAGATCAAAATGGATCTTTGGCAAGTACCACGTGTGATGAATCGCGTGATGAATGAATACATGCGCGATTTCGACCGCATGATGTACCCCTATTGGAGAGAGGCCGATCATTCTGTACTTCATGTGGCCAATGAAACCCAAAAGGTTTGTGTAGTCACCGCACCAACTATAATCTTACCTTAATTTTCATTATACTCTTTATAGCTTGTCGACGATGACAAGAAATTCGCTGTCTCACTGGATGTGTCACAATTCCGCCCTGAAGAATTGAATGTGCATTTGGATGGTAGGGAGCTTACAATAGAAGGGAAGCAGGAGCATAAGGGTGACAACAGTTTTATTCAGAGGTGGGAAAATTCTTATTTTTCTTAGTTAGCAGCTGTCCATTTTCCTAGTTAATTCCAGATCT